AAAACTAACAAAGCATATCAGTGCCATACACACATAAATACGTACAAACATACAACAGCATGTGTCCCAGGCGAGCATTGTTTACAACATGTGGAGGGTAATTATGCAGTTTATGGGCCATTTACAAGCCCAGACCAGTGTTGCCACAGTGTCCTTCTCACCTCTTGAAGGACTTGTCAGGGAACATAAACCATCCATGCTCTGCTTTTTTTTTTCCTTTTGACCATGATACACACACACACACACACACACACACACACGCGCACATCCACACACAGCTACGGGTGCTTTAACAATTATCACTGTGACTGTCTTATGAATCAGCTCCTGACATCATGCCACCCTTCACCTAGACTTCCTGTCATAAGCCATATTTCCATTCCCCTGTTTTACTGCACATTTTTGAATTATTACATTAGAAACTCAAAATGTAAAGGGCTCCTATCATGCAAAACCAAACTTTGTAAGCTGTTTGGTCAGACATATGGGTAGTATAGTGTGTACAGTACACAGCCTTATTATAGGGGTGTAAACATATCAAGTCTTTATACTGTGTATATATATATATATATATATATATATATATATATATATATATCCCATCAATTTTGAGGCCCACCACAATTCCTTCCCCATCCACCAAATTGATTGATAGACACATACAGTATTATCATTTCTCAGTAGGGATGTAACGATTCACCTGAATCTCGATTCGATAAGATTCACAATGCAAATCTCATGATTCAGTCAGGATTTAAAAACAAAATTATTTGAAACAAATTTAAGGTCAAGAGCCTTTTCATTTTTTTTTTCCCTGGATGCTGCACATTTTTTTTTTTTAAAGTATAAATACTTAATTAAATAGCTATTGTAAAAGAAAAAAAAAAAAAAAAAAAAAAAACAAAGAATAATACAAATTAAGGAAGACTAATGCTGAAGAAAAAAAATAAAAAAAAAACTCTTTCATGGGGAATTTGATGGCTGGTTTGAAGAGGAAAGCCTTTCCTAAACTAGAAAGTAGGGTATACAGAGGTGGTCAATAGGCCCTGTGATCTAGGGAACTGGCTACTGGCAAAAAATACTGATTATTAATTTACTAATTATAAAGTAGACAGAATAGAGAGAGTTGAACAATATTATAAAGGTGAAAAATTAATATTACTTGTATAATTAATTAGTATAAGTATCACTTTGTTACACTTAAGAAGAGGTAATCTTGAGCATTTTTCAATATTCAATAATAATAAGCAAATTATTAAAATATGCATAAACTAATTTGAAAAGCAGAGTGTAAAAATAATCTAACACCTGTTTCTGTAACAGAACAACTTTCTCTTTCTGTCTGAAAAACATCTTCACCCTTTCGCTATGTGATTTGCGTAGCACTCGTCAGAGCAAGTGGAGCTGCTAATCATCTGATCCCAGGGTTTCTTATCAATATTTTTTTTTATTTTTTTTTTTGCTCATAGACGTCTGTGACAGTAGTTATCAATGTGCTGAGGGTTTATGTGCATCTTTTTTTTTTTTTTTTTGTAGTAAGTCTTTTTGCAGTATTTGCCTACAGTTTGTTGTTTTGTCTGGCACTGACGGGCAGGTAAAGCGAGCTTGTGCCTGTTAACACAGCGCCCCCTCTGTTCAAAAATTATTGGGATTCATTCAACATTTCAACCGGTTTGAATTGTCACAGGGCAGCATGGTGGTGCAGTGGGTAGCACAACCTCCTCACACCAAAAAAGTTGCTGGTTCAAGCCCTGTCTGGGTCAGTTGGCGATTCTATGTGTAGTTTGCATGTTCTCCCTGTGTTTGTGTGGGTTTCCTCTGGGTGCTCTGGTTTTCCTTACAAGTTCAAAGACATGCGATCAATTGAGTACACTAAGTTGTCCATAATGTATGTGTGGGAATGAGTGTGTAGAGTATGGATGTTTCGCAGTGATGGGTTGCAGCTGAAAGGGCATCCGCTGCATAAAAACCTGAGCTGGATAAGTTGGTGGTTCATTCCGTTGCGGTGACTCCAGATTAATAAAGGGACTGAGCCGAAAATAAAATAAATTAAAATGAATGACTGAATTGTCACATTTAAATTTGTTTCAACGGACTCACTGTGAACTGTTACATCTCTATTTCTCAATGCATGTTTTTAATAAAAAAGACGCTATATAAAGTAAAATCGCTATATAATTTGCCATGTAATTTAAAATGGCTGGAATCACCATAGCTGCAAAGTGAATTATAAAAATATTCAACATTTTTAAATGTGAAATTTGAAGCATTAAACCAACCTGCACTGTGTGAATTACAGAACATATGTAATATTGCTATTGAACTTGCAATTTAGTTAGTAAAATTAGTATATTTATCATTGTGTGTTTGTGTGTGTGTGTGTGTGTGTGTGTGTGTGTGTGTGTGTGTGTGTGTGTGTGTGTGGTGTAGTTTATGAGAAAATGCATTCTCCTCATTAGTTAAAACAAAGTCATAGTTTGGTATACTGTACTTAAAAGGGTCTTTTGACATGCAAAATTTGCCACAGGTTTTCTGTGAAGATTGGGTTTAGAGGTAGGGTAAGTTTATATAATAAGGTTTTTACAGTATAAAATACATCATGCCTGATACCAAATTCACACTAGCAGCGACGTTGTGCCTCTGGGTGGCAATCTGGTGCAAACACAGGTGTGTGTAGGTCTACAGCGGGAAGAATACAACGGCCTATGAGCGAGTTGAGATTAGAAAACGTGAGCTTCACTAATGCTCCTATTGGCTGTCACTCAAGAAAGTCGATTTTCATTTGCATCAAGTTGAAGGATTCTCAACTTTGTTGCGTCGATTGACAAGCCCATCTGGTCGCCAACAGTCGACACAAGTTGCTCACTCTCCGTTGAAATGAACGGTCGCTTGTCTCTTTACTGCTGCGAGTCGCTCGTAGTGTGAATGAGGCTTTATGCAGTTCTCATAAACCAGTGTGTGTGTGTGTGTGTGCATATTAATATTAACGCACAATAATATACTTATATTTTTATAGCATTCATGTTGCAGCATTTTGCAATTAGCTAATTACAACATTTTATATTATAATTATGAATCAATGCTGTTTAATCATACAGCCCTAAAACCAACATGACAACAAAAATCGCTGTTTCTGCAGATTTTTTTTTATTTTTGGTTAACAGGTTACATTATCAAATTTGAAATGATTTGCTTCATTATAAAATGGAAACACAGCTGTCTTCCATGTAATTGCACACAAGACATAAAATTGTAATTACATGTGTACTGTGTATATTTACGTGGACAACTATAAATAACCAAATACTGTACATGCAATAAACAGAAGCTTTCATATTTTTCAACATTATATTGGATGTAACTACAATGTAAATACAATGTTTTAACATACAGTAGTAATTACAATGTAACAACACAATATTTGCACACGAAAAAAGTTTGTAATTACCTGTGCACTGTGTATATTTACGTATACAACTATAAATAAACAAATACTGCACATGAAATATGCAAAGAAACATTTACAATATATATATATATATATATATATATATATATATATATATATATATATATATATATATATATATATATATATATATATATATATTATCTTGGATGTAACTACAGTATATTTACAATGTAACTACACAGTAATTAAATACAATATGAAAGTTTGCAATTACATATTACATACATGTGCACTGTGTACATTAAAGTATAAACTAAAAATATACACTGTAGATAAAGTATACAAAGACACATTGATAAATGTTATCTGGGATATAATTACAATATAATAGCAATGTAAATAAATTCAATATAATAGTTTGTAGTTACATAACATGTGTATTGTGTTTATTTACATAAATAACTATAAATACACAATTAAAGTGCATGAAATATACAAAGAAACATTTGCGTTTATAAATATTATCTTGCGTGTAAATACAATATATTTACAATGTAATTACAATCTAATGACACATTCATTATACACATGTACAAACGTGTTTATAAATCAAAATTAATGTTTGTAATTACATATTACATGTGCACTGTGCATATTTAAATATTATTTAACTATAAATACAAACTGTACATGAAATCTACAAAGATGTTTGTAAATATTGCATGCAATTACAATGTAATCTAAATGGAATTAGAATGTAACAGCATAGTAATTACTTTCAACATCAAAGTTTGTATAACATATTACGTTAACTGTGTGAGTTTATAACTATAATACATAACTACTGTGCATGAAATATACAAACAAAAACATGTACAATACAAGTATGTAATTACAATGTCATAACAATGTAATAACAATGATGTAATTACATACATTACATGTAATAACAATGTAATTACAACATTATTACAAAGTAATAACATTTAGAGTAAATGTCTGTAGATACATTTGTACTACACAAACTGTACATGAAATATACAAAGAAACATTTAGGTTTATAAAAAATATCTTGGATGTTATTAAAATGTAAACACATTAAATTAACGTAAACGTATTTACAATTTAATGACATAGTAATTAAGTTTGTAAATACATGTGTACTGTGTATATTTACAACTATAAATAAACAAATACTGTACATGCAAAGAACAAAAGAAACATTTACATTTATAAATATTATCTTGAATGTAACTACAATATAATGACATAGTAATTACAATGTGACAACACAGTAATTGCATTTTTTAACACATTACTCAGATGTAAATACTATGTTATAACAATGTATTTACAATGTCACTACATCCAAAATAAAAGTCTGTAATTTTGTGACACTTTTTTCTTTCAATTTGACCTCAGTGGGTAATTTATCACTTGATGTTTATCTAATATGGTTGTTTCCTCTTCCAGAGCTCTCTGCAGGCGAAAAAAAAAGAATTATATATCAGGATTGAAATCATAGTGCTTCTTAATTGTTTATTTAACTTAACACAGTATTTTTTTTTTCTTCCGTGTCTTTCTACAGCAACTAATGCGAGAGCGCCAACAGATGGCCAGCCGTCCGTTTGCCACTGTCACAGTCGCACTCGAGGCTCCAGAGGAAGAGGAGGAGCTTCTGCAGGGCCAGGCAGATGTGAGTAAACGTGTTAGTTTAAGTTTACATGTAACACAATTAACACTCTTAACATAATAATACCAACACCTAATATTAAATTTAAAATATATATATATATATTTTACAAAATTGCAAATATATAATAATAATAATAATAATAACACTGACACTGACTCTTTTTTTTTAAACTGTATTCACCTGCAATGCCTTCCCATAAACTACTTTACTTTTAATAGTGTTTAATTTGCTTCATATGAGTGCTACTGCTACTTGCTACTGTTTTCATTTTACCGTATTTGGCTAGACAGAGGCATCTTGATTTAACATCAACTGAATTGATTTTACTTATTTTAATGATACATAGTGAGATTTCATCTAATCTGCTTTGTTAGAGCATCTCTCACTTATTTTCAAAGATTCAGGCTTTTTTCAATCACTGTTTAAATGCCATCTGCAATCACTGACCTCTTAAAAAAGTCAAACACATGTCTAGTTGTCTGTTATTTATTGAACAGTTTCTGTGTCTTGTTCTACGTACATCTGTCTGATTGGGTTGTGAAAGTAGATTGTGTTGGAAAGAGCTGAGGGAAACATATGCATGGAAATCTGGATGTGTTTTTAAAATACACCCAAGACTTTTTATATAGCTGTGGCATGATTTGAATCGTACCAGATAACTGCTAATTGCTGGAAGAGCAGATTAAGTGTTAAGAGTGTGCTAGACCTGCTGTGCTTAATATCTGGACTGAAAAGTGTGAGAAGCACTCAATGACTGAGCCATCTTCAATGTTACACCTAGAACTCTTCAGGTGTAAAACAACATCTGCTGCACTACACCAACTGTTCCTCTCATATAATTTTAAAATTAAATCAAAATGGTTAAAGTGTATTAAAGAGATCTACACACACACACACACACACACACACACAAATCCTGTTAATTTACTCACCCACAGGTTATCCAAGATGTAGGTGACTTTTTTCTATTAAAGAAGAATTTGAGCTGAATCCATGGTTCCTGGAGATTTTTATAAAGATAGTGAATGGTTGTAGGTTTTTTTAGATTAAAAATACACACAAATCCAAATTAAATGCCATTATTCTAGGCAAAGCAAAACATCCGGTCCGTGTGGGAAATAAAACATTATTTACAGTATTAATAACTTTAATTCACGGCCTGGTAAAACAGTCTCTGCATGTAGCTCTATTGTATTCTCCGTTAATTAACCATAAATATTATCATTTGCTAGTATGTATGGGTATTTAAATGTCTGAAACCTAAAATAAACATTATTTGTTTGTTTGCATATTTTGTTTGAAACTCTTGATACATTGTTATTTGACAAGCGTCGCATGCCTCTTTCTGAATAGCCATTTTTGGTTACCCATAGAAGCATTCATTAAAAAAAGAAAAAAATGTTTAAATATACTACTGTGCCATCAGGAGGACGCTTCAGCTTCACAGACTACCACTGACAAGCCAGAGTGAGAAACACAAGCAAGATGGCAATAACAATTATTTTACACATGCTCTTACAATGTGTTGTACTCACAAGAAAATAGAATAAGAATGTTTACTCTATTCATCTCCCATTTAAACAAACACTTACTTTCATATAGCTTAGGAGACGTTGATGAATTAACGTGTTGTAAATCCAACAGCTCTAATCCCCTCTGCAGTAAATGGGACTGTAATTTGTCATAAACAAGATGCATCTCTATGGAAATAGAAAAAGTGATATCTTCAAAATAACTCGGGAAAGGGGGTTCAACCCAGCACTGCCTCTTGACTTTACTTAGGTGGGCCGCCCAGATATATTAACGGCCCCCAAGTGTATTTAGTGACACATTTTTATTTTTATTTTACTATTATAAACATCCTAGGGCTGCACAGTGGCACAGTGGGTTATACGATCGCCTCACAGAAAGACGTTCGCTGGTTCAAACCTCGGCTGGGTCAGATGGCATTTCTTTGTGGAGTTTGCATGTTCTCCCAGTGTTTGCTTGGGTTTCCTTTGGGTGCTCCAGTTTCACCCACAAGTTAAAAGACATGTGGTATAGGTGAATTGGGTAAGCTAAATGGTCCGTAGTGTATGTGTGTGATTGAGTGTGTATGGGTGTTTCCCAGTGATATATTTTGTATCTGCCCAAAATAAGCAAATTTTCGCGATAATCTTCTCCCGTTTACCCGTTTAGTTCTGTTTGTGCGAAACCTGTCAGCTCTTCAGTCTTACTGGCTTTGCAGACCCACATAGACGTGCCTTTGTGGGACTTAAAATGTTTGTCCGACCCGGGTTTCTAATTCTCTTAAAATGTCTGGGATTTAACTTTTGCTTTCACTTCTTAAAAGGTTAGTCTGTTTTTGCAGTATTTTTTTTTTTTTTATTAAATACTACTTTCTGCTTGCTTCACAGCTGACAGCATGCACAGCCACAAGAGAAAAAGTAAAAAATAGATTTTCTAATCTAAACAATTCAGAAAAACTGTACTATATGCTCGGAGTGTCAGGATCGTGGGTGGGGAAAAGAAGTGAGGACCCAAGTGCAGGGAAAGATGGTATTTATTTAGAATAAAATAAAATAAAAAGCAAAACAAACCACCTTGAGGGGGAAAACACTTACAAAACAAATAAACAAACAAAACAAACTAGACTGGGCAGGCTGGCAAGGATCAGGACTGGAACACTCAGGACTGGAACAAGGCAACATACAACAGGACAAGACAACATACGATGACGAACTGGCACAGGACAGCAGACATGAGGAGAATATAAGCAGAAGTAAACTAACACACAGGTGAACAAACAGGTGTTAACAAACAGGTGAATCTAATAAACTAATAATGGGTTAACAAGGGGGGAGGGACTAGACAATAGATGGGAGAGCACATGACACAAAGAGACAACACAAGCCATGCGTTCACATAAAACAAGACTAGATTATGCAGCCAATGAGAGAACTCATTAACCGCAGGTTCATATGACAACACAAGCGTACGGTGCCTGTAAACATGAACCATATGCTAAACACAACACCAACAGAAGACTGAATGCAAGACACGAGTACACGATGAATGAAAACACTCACCATGCACTCATGGTCTGCTCACACCCACAACGGCCCGCACACAGAGACACACACAATGACAGAAAACAAGTGCTCGACCCCAAAAAAATCAACCCGAGCACAACATGACAAAACAGAGCTAGTGTCCGGACCCTGACACAGAGAGGATGAAATGACTGGTCTAAACTGGCTGCAAAATATATATAGACCATTAGTTGTTAATCAACGCATTTGCCCTATTTAAATAATCTACAAGTTTTAATCTTGTAATTATGATTTTTTTTTTTGAAAAATTGTCTGTTTTTATTCATTTTATGTGATTTATTTCTCATTTGCTGATTATTATATTCATTTGATAATGTTAATATATTACATAGGCTATTTTATATACAGTACATATCTAAAATTACATATATTTCAACAGTTTTTTTTTTTAACCCATTGAAAAGAAACAGTGTAAAACAGTGTCATAATAAATACAATTATTGTTAAAATTAAATTATGTTTTGTTTGTTGTATATAGTTAACTATTTATGTGGGATGTGTAAATGGTGCGTTTTAATCCGGCTACTACTGCAAGTATATTTCAAACATGTGGGAAGCACTGATATTTTGATCTAAGGGTTGATCAGTCACATCATTAATTATCTAACTACGTATTTAACAAATTAAATAACTTAAATGTCACCAGCAGCAAAAATAATACAATAAAATTAATAAACAAATACATTCAAATACATTCAAATTCAAATACAGTCTTTAATCCATTCAGCTCTCTTGAGTTGCTGCCACCTTTTAAAAGAGATGCAGATATTTGCTCTCATTTTAGCACCGATTCTCTCACTTTGCCTTTTTGACTGCAAGCTCTCTGCAGTTTAAGCTTTCCTGATTTTGACAACAGATGATTCTTCAGATGTCAACAATGATTGCCCTTTTGGCCTGTCTAGAATTAAAAGCACATTTCAAGGAGAATTGAAACAATAAAGCTTTGTGTTTTTGTAAATTAAAGAAAACACACAGTGTCACTTTCTGGACTGTGTTTACATTTTTTATCAACTAAGCTGAGCCTTGATTCAAAGCATTCAAAAAGAATGATTTTAAATGTTAACTATATTGAGTCTTAAATTGAAAGATAAATTATTTATGGATGTCATGTAAGTGTTCCACAATAGGATCTAATGCAATGAGCGAAATAAAAAGCAGGTAAATCACTGGCTGCCATTTGTTGGATAAGCCATTGTGGCACATGTGATTGCAGCAGCCTCTATGACCTTTACTGCATTATAAAACAACAGGAGAGTCATTAGCATAAATCTTCACATCAGCGTCCATATAACATCCATACAACATAATAAAGCTGATGAACCACAGCCCAGAGCACCTGCACTACGCCAAAGCATATCTTGCCTTACGTGTTGTGCTGATCAGTAGCGGCCCAGGGTTTTTATAATGCTGTGAGAAATAGATCAATTTCATATGCAGGGCTTTAATGTGCTGTATTTACCTCCTGTGGGCGTTGTGGAGATAAAGACTATTTATGACACTTATGGGCTGTCGGGCTAGAGGAAGACCATTATTATTCAGATGCATGCACAAACTCACGTACATATTCATGGACATGACGGCATTAAAGGTGTGTGTTTTTTATGTTTTAGAAATATGTTTATGCACATCAAAGCTACATGCATGCATTTGTTTATCAGTGTGTGCTAAATCTGTTTGTATATATTTTAAAGGGCACCTATTTTACCCTTTTTTTAAGATTTAAGTCTTTTGTGTCTCCAGAATGTGTCTGTAAAGTTTCAGCTCAAAACACCATCAGATTATTTATTACACCTTTTAGAATATTGAAATATTCTGCTTTTAACACATTGCAGCTGTTTTTGTTGCCTGTGCCTTTGATGCTGGTTAATGCCCCGCCCACCATTCCCATGTGCCTGTCAGAGTATGCCT